GGGCAAGCAACAGCAAGAGGGGATGACAGAAAGTAGGGAACATCAGTGAGGCAGGAAGCTGAAGCTAAGGAGGGATGTGTCTGGGAAGAAGTGCCTTGCATTGGGGGATTTTTTTTTCCCTTCTTTTTTTTTGAGTACTGCAGATTTAATGCAGGGGTACTTTATCACTGAGCTACATCCATATCATTTTTATTTTTTGAGACAGAGTCATTAAGTTGCTGAGACTGGACTCATACTTGCAATCCTCCTGTCTCAGTTCACTGAACGGCTGGAATTACCAGCATGAACCATTACACCCAACAAGCATGTGAATTTTTGTAACTCTTTTTTTTTTTTTTTTTCCCCTTTAGGCACTAGAGATTGAAGCCAGGAGCTCTTTACCACTGAGCTACATTCTTAGCCCTTTTTGTTTTTTATTTTGAGACATGGTTCACTTAGTTGCTGAGGTTGACTTCTAAGTGGCCATCTTCCGTCATTCTCCTGCCTCAGCCTCCCAAATTGCTGGGAATTCAAGTGTGTGTCATCACAACGACTATGGACATTTGATTTTGACCACATATCCTGCCTACATGCTCATTTCCTTACCATCCCTGCAAATCCCTGGTAATCATCTGCTGCCTACATCAGTGGTTTTCAAAAAGGAATGAAAGGGTGGCAGGACTCCTTAATGGCAGGCTTCTAGCAATACAGTGCCCTAAGGCCTGAGGTGGAGTCCATGCTGACTACAGGGGCTTCACTGCCCCAGAGGAGGAACCAGCTATGCCAGGGACTTATGGAGAACCCTCGAGATCCAAGCCTGCTCCTTCTGCTTGTCCTGAGAGGTAAGGAACTCTCCTTCCTGGACCCTGTTGTCGCCCAGATCTTAACTTGACCCATCTCACAAACTTTTGTCCAGGAAAGGATGAGCCCAGGAAAACATGAGACTCAGAGACACTGTACTATTGAAAAGAAAACACCAGAAGAAAAGACACTTGCTGGGTGCAGGTTTCTAATCCCTGGAAGCTGAGGAAGGAGGATCCCAAGTTCCAGGCCAGTCGGGGCAACATACAGAGACCTTATCTCAACAGAAAGAATTAAAAGGGCTTGGAGTGTAGCTCAATGATAGGCATGCCTGGGTTCAATCCAAAAAGAAAGAAAAGAAAGAAAAAAATAAGAAGAAAAGACCCCAGAATGTCACCAGTCTTTTACCCCTGGGTGATGGCATGCATTGAGTACAGATTTTGGTTTTCTGCTTTCCCCACATAGCTGTATAAAGCATTTTGTGTGTGTGTGTGTGGGGGGGGTACATATACAAATATATGTAAAATATCAGCATATATAAAATAAATCAACAGAATGAAAAACAATAGTTTAAAGAATAGCCATATGAAACTTTATTTGAAAGGAAGTTGTGAAGGCAGGGTTTGTTTTGTGTTTATTCTGGGAGCGTTCCCTGAAGGACTCAACCATGAGAGCATGGCCCTTTTTGGGGCCCTCTGGCACTATCTTTGGGCCTCGGTTCTCTGGGGGAAACGTGAGCTGGTGTTTGCTGAGTCATCATGTGTGGATCACAGCTCTCCTTGGAGCACTGGCCTGGGGCATAGATCACTTTCTGGCCCATCCTCCCACTAAAATGTGGATAATAATCAACAAATTGAACCCATTGCAATAGGGTGGAATGCAACACACTATATGAGATAAAGAAATATAAACAGCCAGGTAGAATCAGGAGATTATTTTATTTTACTTTATAATTTTGAAATGATTTCAGACTTCAAACACAATTGCAAAAATAATACAAATGCATCTTACACAACCAGGACAATGATCAAAACCAGAACATTAACACTGAGAGAACATTGTTAAGCCAAAAGCATTGTTTAGGCTCTGCGTGGTAATGACTACATGCCTGTAATTCTAGCTACTCAGGATGCTGAGGCAGGAGGATCACAGTTCAAGGCCAGTTTCAACAATTTAGTAAGACCCCGTCTCAAAATAAAAAAAAAATATATAAAGGGACAGGGATATATCTCAGTGGTAGTGTACCTCTTGGTTCAATCCCCAGTACCAAAACAAAACATTATTCAGATTTCACCATTGGTCCCACTAATGTCCTTTCTCTGTCTCAAGATCCAACGTAGGATCCCACATTACATTCAATAGTCACGACACTTGGGTGTCCTTTACTCTGGAACTGTTTTCCAGTCTTAACATGTCTTTCATGACCTTGATGTTTTTGAAGAATTATTCTGTAGATCAGCATTGTCCAACTTAACATTCTAGGTTGATAGGAATGTTCTGTATCTGTGCCATGCAACATGATAGCCATTAGCCAGATGAATTGACATTTGAAATGTGGCTAGTGGAATTCAGGAATTGACTTCTAMATTTTATTTAATTTCAGCCAAAATAGTTACATGTGGCTATTAGCTACTGTATGGGACAGGACAGCTGTCAGGTGGCCTTCATTTGAGGTTTGTTCATTAGCTTCAAACGTGAGCTTTTGGTAAGAATAACATAGGCATAATGTTGAGTCCTTCTTTGCCTAGATTTTTTAAAAGCTGTTGACAGGTGACAGGGAATCACCCAGCCAGGAAGCTGGATTGTTTTCATGCCCTTCAAGGTCCAGCAAAGACAGGGATGACAATTGCATTTGGAAGCYAGGCCCCACACTCCCAATGTTCTTCCTGCAAGAAGTAGATATGAAGCCACAGGGGTCAAGGTGAGTTGCAGGCACCATTAATTTTTGAACTCATCATCACTCACTCTTTTAGCTACACAATGTGGAGCTGGCTTAATTACAGTTGGAGTGTGATTTAGAACACTTCGTAAGTTCTGAATGTTGTGAAACACCACAGGGCTACCAAGTACAGTAATAAAATCTCACCTATAAAGTGTTTCAAAACTTCCTAAATTTTGGTTTGGAAGCACAGGCTTTGTAGTCAGATCTTTCCTTAGCCATTTGCATGTGATCACAACCAAATCTCTCTTAAATGTTTGAACCCTTGTCTTTTTCTTTCTTTTCTCCCCTTGCCACCCTCCATAATGGGGATTGAACCTTTGAGCTATATCCCCAGCAACCCCCATCTTTGAGACATTCACTAAATTGCTGAGGCTGACCTTAAATTTGTGATCCTCCTGCCTTAACCTTCAAATTACTGGGATTACAGGTGTGTGCCCCTGAACCCTTCCCATTGATGTTTTTTTGTTTTTGTTTTTGTTTTTTGCCTTACTGGAGATTTAATTCAGGGCCTTGCATATTGCTAGGCAAGCACTCTACCACSGAGCTACATCCCAGCCCCCACTGATGCATTTATTTATTTGCGTTGCTGAGATTCAAACCCAGTGCCTCACACATGCTAGGCAAGCGCTTTACCACTGAGCCACATCCCCAGCCCTACTGATGCATTTTTAAAAAAATTTTTCTAGATGTTGATGGACCTTTATTTTATTCATTTATTTATCTGCAGTGCTCAGAATCGAACCTAGTGCTGCCTCACACATACCAGGTAAACCACAACCCAGCCCCCATTGTTGCATTTTTAAGTATGTGTAAACTTGTGTAGCTACCACTCACGACATGTAGAACAACATTTCCATCCCCTAGAAGGTATGCCTCTCTCCCCTCCCCCAGGCAACCTCCCCAGAGGTAACCAGTGACATGATTTCTATTTGTGTACATTAGTTTTTCCTGTTTTTGAAGCAGTGCCTAGAATCAGGCATCATATGTTCTTTTGTATTTGGCTCCATTAACTGAACACTGTTTACTCATTCATAGGTGGAGAGATCCATCCATGCGGTGTGTACCCAGTTTGTTCTTTTTTTTCATATATATGAAATATCTAGTGCATATACTTCTAGGAAGATGTACATTCAGGAGTGAAATTGCTGGGTCATAGAGGTTGCCTATGTTTAACATCAGTAAAACTGTCAAACAGCTGGGTGTAGTGGTGTATGTCTGCTGTAGTCTCAGTTACTCCAGAGGCCAAGGCAGGAGGATCCCAAATTCAACATCAATCTGAGCAAATTAGAGAGACCCTGTCTCAAAATTTAAAAAAAGGTTGCGTAGCTTAGTGATAAAAGGCAGCTTAGTGATAAAAGCTGGGTTCCATCCCCAGTACAAAAACAAACAAACAAAAAAGCCCTGTTAATTTCCCCAAATCTTTTAATCTCTCTTTGAAATAAGAAGTATAAACCTATTCTACCTGATTATTTTGAGAATATTCAATGGGCCCTTAGATATACAGCAGGTATCTAATAATCGCTGGCCTTTCCCCACCAAGTGTCCGCTGTCCAAGCAGAATAAGGACTCCATTAATGACAAACACTAAGAGAGGAGTGCCCAGACCCTTAGGCAAGAGAGGACTCTGCTGCACTGCACTCAGGCCCGCACCCTCATCCAGCACATGCGCCTGGCAACTTGACATCCCCACCCAGCAAGTTTCCCGCCCAGAACCCGCTCAGATCCCGCTCCCATGGCCCAGTGTGCGAGTCGCCGGGCTAGGCACTCGATCCCCAGTGACCTTTACTTGTCACTCAACGTTTATTGAACATGAAATGTGTGCCAGGCCCGGGAGACGCTGGAGTGAGCGACTCGAAGACCCTCTCTCCTCAGAGCACCTAGCTGGAGGAGGGGTTGCTTCACCTGAGGAGTGCGGGGATTGGGTTCCAATCCTGCAAGGACTCGGAGGCGAACAGCCCTCCAGGCTTCTGGCCTGAACCTGGAGTTCCCCCTGCAAGTGGCTCAAGACAAATAAGGGAAGAAAACAATCTGCTCTTCTGCGCCCCCTGCAGGAAGCTAGGTGCATACCCAACGCCCTTCGGAGCGCTTCCAGGCCTACTCGCCAAGGCCAAGTGCCCGCCCCTGCCGCGGAGTCACCATCGGTGGCCACGAAGCCCCGCCCCCTGCACAGCCAATGGACGCACCGGCCTAGCCCCGCCCCGCCCCTTCCCTGTGGGGAGGGTTCCTTGCTGGAGACAGTGGTCAGCTGGTCGCTGGGTCGTGACTGTCCTAGGTAAGATCGCCGTCCCGGGCGCTGGGTCCTCTGGGCTCTGCATGCATCGATGCCCTTCCGGGAGGTGGGCTGCAGCGGCAGGAGCCAAGTGGGTCTCGGAGACCGCCGGGGCGCGCAGGGCCCGGGGCGCGGAACTCCGGGAACCGCTAGTGCCAAGCACTTGCGTTTCGGGACTCCGAGGGCTCCTCGCGCCACCTCCAGCACCCGAAGAGAGTGGGTAGGTGGCTCAGGGCGTCTGCTCAGGCTCTGGGGAAAAGGTGGGGCCGGAAGGAAACGGGCTGAATTATTCCCGCCGCCTGCAGGCCCGGGGTGACCCTCAGGCTAGACTGGGCCTGGGTGCGCCGACCTGTGGCAGTAACTCCCGGGAGTCCGAGTCCGCTGCCGCCAGTCCCTGGGTCTTGACAGTTCTGGCTGGTGGCATCTGCTCCGAACAGCCTCCCTGCCCTCCGCGGACCTGGGTCCCGCCCAGGAATCCGATCCGAGGCTCCGAGGCCTGTCCCATGGGAGGGTGGATATTTCTTTCCACTACGCGCTCAGAGGCTCTAGGGCAGTCGGGACGGAAACTTTGTTCCGGGGTCTGGAACACTCTGCTACCTCCTCCCTTCCTCTGATATCGAAGTGCCAGAGAAAGGGTGAGCATGAAACCAAGCAAGAACGCCATTCTTTGTATGGATGCTGTGAAGCTTCAAAAACATCTTGTAGGACAGTCAGTTACCTGGGAATTGAGGCTGACAAGGAGAGCAGCCCTCTCTCAAAAAATTTCCCCTTCTGCCAAGAGAAAGAGATTAATGTTGCATCCTCCCATGTGCATCTCCTCTGGCCACCCCCATCCCGCCCCCTTGACGACCTTGGCCCCTCTGCAGGCATAGATGCAGAGGGCTGGCTGTGTGGCCCTCACTTTCTCCAGGGGCCTTTGTGCCCTGTAAGGTACATAGCCAACTGCAGTGAGGTAGCACATCTTGGGTTCAATTCTTGTGTGGACCCCTGGCCAGCTGTGTAAATGGTATCACTTCTTTCCTGGGATTGTCAAGAAATCAAGTGGAAAAAATCTCAGGATATGTCTATCTCTAGTGAGCCCTCAATCAATGTGAACAAACATGGGCTTCCATTCCTTTTGGTGGGGTCACATCACCCCATCTCCCCCATCTGTACCTTAAGGCTTGAGACTGGGCTGTGGAAGAGTGCCTCATGGGACTCCCTCCTAGTGCCCTCCTAGGTGCCATGGGAAGGTAAGGAGAAGGGGTTCCATAAATCTCCACAGAGTTGTCTTTGTGCATCTCCTGAAAGATCAGAAGACCCATAGCTTCCTGCTCTCTGGACTTTCCATCACTAGCAATTGTCCCACCAGGAGTCTGAAGCATGGTGGTCAACAAAGCAAATCATGCAACCTGGGGCTATGAGACCACCAGATAGGATTGCTGTCCCGCATCCTTTGTGGTGAGGACCTGGCACCTGCAGCAGCTATAGGTACAGTCTATGATGCAACACTGTCTCTGTGCATGTGGGTATCATGCACACTGAACGTCCCCTATCTGCTTCCTTACCTCTTTGACAGTGCTTTTGATATTCAACAGCATCGTAAGCTTCACATGTTCAAAATAGACCTCTGGAGTTCCCTCTTCACCAAGGCTCTCCCATTGCTTCCCTAGCTTAGTAAATGGCACTTTTCTCCCACCCAGTGCCCAGGGAGTCATGCTTGATTCTCCTCTTTCCTTCACCTTCTTCATCCACAAAAGCCAGGAATCCCACTTCCCTTTGCCACTTCTGTGGTTATCATCCTGGCCATGTCCAATGATGTCTCCCCTCGAACCCCACCCTGAGTGGCCTCCTGACTTGTCTCCTGCTTCCATTGTGGCCCTTCCACAGTCCTCATGACCACCAAAGAGGACTTTGATGTAAATCAAAAACTCTCTTTTCCTTGTTAGAACCTTCTAAGGGAGTTTTCTATTTTTCTCGAAATAAAACCCAAAGTCCTTTCCTACATGAGTGGCTCCTACCAACCTCTGTGACCTTGATCTTTGCCTCTCCCCCTAGCTTTCTGAACCTCGACCACACTGGCCTGCATTCTATTCTTCAAACATGCCAAACTCATTCCCATCCTAGGACTTCCTCATACTGTGCCCTCTGCCTGAAACACCAATCTTCTCACAGCTGAGAACAGCCCAACTCAAATGTTCCAACTGAGAAGGGCTTCCTTAATTACCCCAGTTCAAGTAGCATGACCTTYTCCAGGATGTGTCTCATTGCTCTGTTTTGTTTTCTTTACAATTTGTATTGCTTTTTGGAATTCTCATTTAGGTATGTGTTTACTATCTGTTATCTCTCCCACCCCAATGAATATAAATTGAATAATGGCACAGACCTTATCTCTCTTATCCCCTGCAGCACTCCCTGATGGGGAGGCAAATAAGAAACAAGCAAACAAACACACCTATACTTGCAAATTGTGGCAAGCACATAGCTATCACTTGTATTTGGAATATTTTTAAACTTTTAAGCTTATATATCTGAGCTGAACAATTGTATTGTCAAAACAAACTCCCTGAGCCATTTTAAGGAAAAGGCTGGTAACTTGCCTGGGTCATACTGTTCAGGGCAGTAAGTCAATCTCCTGCCATAAGAACACATATACAAGCTTTAAGGGTGAGTCTGCAGGCACGTTCTGGGAAGAACCTGATCCTAAACCTCATTCCTTTGCTTTTCCAGTGACTAGAAAGCTCCTTAATTTCTTAGTAACTTATTTTCTTCATATTTATAGTAAAATGATCCTTTTGTATGTGTGTTGGGGGGGTGGTGTTAGGTCTTGCTAAGGTGTCCAGGTGGACCTTGAATTTGTGATTCTACTGCCCAGCCTTCCAAATTGGGATGGATGACAGGAGCATGCCACTGAAGGGGGAGTCCTATTGTTATTATGTTGGACTTGTTTTTTTCTTTATTTTGGTATACCCCAAAGAGGCAGCACTTGTAGGTGACTCTCTTACTATCCTGCCTAAGAGTCAGGAGGGGAACAGGTATATATATCCCCTAGTCACAGCAGCTAGGGGCTCATTKCAGACCCTCCTCAACACTGAACAACCTGCAGGGTAGAAATGGGTCCTAGAAGTCGGGTGTGGTGGCACACGCCTGTAATCACAGCAGCTTCAGAAACTAAGACAGGAGGATCGTGAATTCAGAGCCAGCCTCAGCAATGGTGAGTCGCTATGCAACTCAGTGAGACCCTGTTGTTAAATAAAATACAAAATAGGGCTGGGGATGTGGCTCAGGGCCAAGTGTCCCTGAGTTCAATCCCTGTTCCCATCTCCCTCAAAAAAGAAAAAAAGAAATGGGTCCTGGGTCTTCTGCATCTAACTTTTTTCTGGTCATCAATTCATTTTTTTTTTTATTTTTGTTTTTGGGTACCAGGGATTGAACTCAGGGGCACTCAACCACTGAACCACATCCCTAGCCCTATTTTGTATTTTAATAGAGACAGGGTCGCACTGAGTTGCTTAGTGCCTTGTTAAATTGCTGAAGCTGGCTTTGAACTTGTGATCTTCCTGCCTCCACCTCCTGAGCCGCTGAGATTATAGGCATATGCCACTGTGCCTGGCCCATCAATTCATTTTAAACCAATTATTTGAGAGCCTCTGAGAACTAGGCAATATTAACATAGAATGTTTTAAGAAATAAAAGATTAAAGGGAATAAAGCAAAAATTCAAAAACATGGAGAAAGAATTATGATTTGTCCAACCCTGTTGCCATGTGCAATGCCTTTTCTTCCAGTCTTTTTACCTCTCTCTCAGTCCATTCTCCCTTCCCAGGGCCGCAGCCCTATCTCTTTAGAAGCTGAGCAGCCATGACCTTTGCTGAAGATGAGACCTATAAGTATATCCGCCTCCATCACAGCAAGTTTTGCTGTGTTAATGTTCTGGAGATTCTGCCTTTTCTGCCTTGCCTGACAGCCAGTGACCAGGTGAGCAGGGAAGTGACAATTGGACTTGGGGCTGGGGGCTGGGCTGTGGAATTAAGCTCAGCCCCATGCCAGGTTTTCACCCAAGCCAGGGCGTACTACTTTTTCTTAGTTCCCCTCTGTCTTGCTTCTTGTGTTCTCTGCTTTTTAACTTTTAGATGAAACGTGGTTCAGGGTGGCTTTTCTAACCTTGCCGAGCTCCCTCTTGTGTTGTTTTAGTGTAGTGCTCAAAAATATGGCACTGACTCCGGTCCCTTTGCCCATTATTTTTTAGATCCTCTTTTCTTCCCTGATGGGTTTTTGTTTTGTTTTGTTTATTTTTGGTATCAGGGATTGAATCCAGGGATGTTTAACCACTGARTCACACCTACCCCAGCTCTTTTTATTTTTTATTTAGAGATAGCGTCTCATTTAGTTGCAGCGATCCTCCTGCCTCAGCCTCCCAAGCTGCTGGGATTTCAGGCATGAGACACTGTGCTTGGCTCAGTTTTRAGAGTTGAGAGGGGCCAGATCTGTCCTGCCCCACCAGGACTTTCTGCAGACCCCTTAAACTAACTAGTTAATGAAATGAATGAATCCCTTACAATTTTAGCTGTTCTCAAATGGTATCCCTGTGCTCCTAGTAGATGCCTGTGGGCTCTTTTGGCACCCAAAAGACATGTCCTCCAGTGTCTCAGGAGCACCATTGCTTCCTCTGTGTCCTCCTGTGTAAGTACCATTAGAGCACAGGTCTGGGGTAGTTGGAGTTTTTGTCCCAATTTGTATTGATGAGCTTGCGGGCATATCTTGTTACCTAGTTTGTAGTAAATGTTTTCTCTGAGTTTTCATTTCTTCTAGTTGCTCTTTTTGTTTGTTTGTTTTTTGTTTTTTCCTTTGGACCAGGGATTGAGCCCAGGGACACTTAACCATTGACCACATCCCCAGCTCTTTTTTAAATGTTTTATTTTGAGATAGGGCTTTGCTAAGTTGCTGAGGCTGTCCTTGACCTTGCAATCTTCCTGCCTCAGCTCCCAAGCTGTTGAAATTACAGGTGTGCACCACCATGTCCAGCTAGTTGCTTGTTTTTATAAGGGAATTTGAATTAGTGTAAAAACGCAGCTGGTGTCTTCTTTCCAGATACCCCCTCTGCAGTGGCTCCCCAGAACCCTCATTCCCCCTATTTGATCCCCTTCCTTCTCTTCTTTGCCTCTTTTCATCTTATTGTTGCTACATAACCTTTCCTTCTGCATCCATCCAAGCCTTTTTCTTTGCTTTAGGGCCTGTCTAAACCCAAGGCTTTGCCTCAGATTAACTGGGTTTGGATCCCTGTCCCACTGCTATAGGATTGATGCTACTTTGCTTCTGCTAATGCCTCAGTTTCCTCATCAGTGTATAGGGATAATAATAGCATTAAATAAAAATTCATGTAAAACCACAACAGAGAGCCTAGGACATTGTCATAGCCTGTTTCCTGCTAGCTGCCTTTATTGTTGTTGGTAATTTCTCTTCTTCACTCCATTCCTGGGCTCCAGTCCTGGTCTTGTTCTGAGCTCTGACTCAATTTCAGATGGCTGACTCCTTCTTGTGGCTTTCTTGATGCCCCCTCTGCAGTGGCTCCTCTGTGGGTGGAGAAAGAGTTGGGGCCACCTGGCTTGAGCAGGGTGGCTGCACTGTGTCTTCTAGGATCGACTACGGGCCTGCTACTCAAGCCTGGGAAACCAGGACACACTCTGGGAACTCTTCAACCGCCTCCAGCGCCGAACTGGTTGGGTAGATTTCTTAATCAAGGCACTGAAGATCTGTGAGCAGGCTGAGCTTGCTGAGGAAGTGGCTCGTGTTTACCGGAGCAAACTGCTTCCTGGTGAGCCTCCTGTCCTGGCCATTTCTGGTCACCCTGCCCCCATCACCCCTGAGCAATATATGCACTTGAGTGTAAATCCTGGCAGAGCTACTTATTATCTGTGTCCCTTTGACCAAGTTCCTTAATTTCCCTGAACCTCAGCCTTCTCCTCTGCAAAATGGGGCTAATGGCAATGTCTATCACATCGGGCTGCAATAAATAGCATAGGACGGTACCTGCTGAGTATTTAGCTGGGGCTCAGCACCTCCCATGTGCTCAGTGCAGGGGGGGGCCTTCTTTCAATTTTGTGGCTGTGGTGTTTGCCTCCTTGTTTCCTCTTCTGTCTCATATTCCCCCATCCATTCTTTCACAACCCTCTCTCCACCTCCCTTAAGTTGCCTGATTATTCCTTAACTACTCTTAAAGTCCCTGGCTGGCTTGAGTGCCCAGAGGGAATTTTGTGGGATGGAATCTGACACAGGAAGAAAAGCTGAATCTGCCCTATCTAGTTCAGACTAGAGGCTATCCCAGAGATCCTCACTCAGATTTATAGCTTTGGAACACTCATCTTCTTCCCCTCTTCCTTCTGTCCTCTCCTTTCCCTGGGGATTGAACCCAAGAACATTTTACCACTGAGCTACATTGCCAGCCCTTATTATTTTTTTATTTTGAAACAGAGTCTTGCCAAGTTGCTGAGGGCCTTGCTAAATTGTAGAGGCTGGCCTCAATCTCGTGATCCTCCTGCCTCAGCCTCTTGAGTTGTTGGGACTACAGGCATACATTACCATGCCCCTCCTGGCTTCTTTTCTCCCCCCACCTCTTTCTCCCTTCTTTTCTAACTGCTGTCTTCATTTGTGGAGATTAGTAGTGATCCCCCCTGAATACAAATGGTTGTGGTAGTATCTGGGGCAGGATGTGTCAGGGATCAATTAGGTATAACAGCCCTGAGAGAAAAAAGTCTGGGGACGTAGGAGGAGTGACCGCTGATGTAGCCTGGGTGCTCATGCGGATCCCTGCCCCACTCATGTCTTCCTTCTCCCCAACTCTTCTCTTCCTCCCACTCCTGTCCCCATTCCCATGATGCTTGTCACCCCTGGGGTGCATTCCCTGTCAGGTCAACTTTTAGAGCTATGGAGGGAGGAGGCCCCAGAGCACCCAGGCCTTGCCCGTCACAGGGAGAATCCCTGGTTCCTTCTTGGTATCACTGTATCTTTGTTCTCCAGGGAACCCAACCTGTTCTCCAGCCTCTCAGGCAGCACCGGCAGCTCCTGGCAAGGTCCCAGGGCCCTCTGCACCTGCTGTGGCTCACGTCCCCTACAATGGCTACCGAGAAGAGCCAGGTTACCCCAGGCCTGTGCAGGACACACAGCCACCAAAGTCCCCAGGAGAGGTATGTCCTCAGGGTTTACCCCAGGCTTCCTGTTTTTATGTTCTTGTCTGCTCCTTCAGTGGGGATCTGCTTCAGCCCAGCTCCCAGACTACTGACAAGGTCTGAGGCAGCCCCCAGCACTGTCATCAAACAGCTGGGAGGCCACACTTTATCACGTGGTCATGTTGAGCTGGGTGGAAGAACCTGGGAGTGGCCAGATTGGGGAGTAGGGTGAGGGAACTGGAGGTCTCGGGTGGCTGGAGGGACTGTAATTATCACAGTAAAGTTAAGTGTGGAGAAAAGATGACAAATTATATGGAGATATGATAAGTGGGCTGTGGGGGTATCAGGAGATACCAAACTGTGGACCTGAAACCACAGGGTTTGTGCAGAAACCCCTGAAGAAAGTGCTTTGTGCAGTGGAGACCTCCACATGGCCAGACAGATGGATAGGGACCCCCATGGGACAGTGTGTGTGTGTGTGTGTGTGTGTGTTTTAAAGTTCTGAGGACTGAACCCAGGGTCTCGTGCATGCTAGGCAAGTGCTCTACCACTGAGGTATACTCCCAGTTCCCTGGGGTGTTTTCTTTGAGCCCGTCAGTACTCTCCGGGTGTCCACTACAAGGGGTGTCCAGTTCCCAGATGTAAGATCATCTGTGGACAGAGGGTCTGGCAATGACCAGAAATAAGAAAAGAGCTCCTTTAGAAGTTGTCCTTAGCTGGGGACAATGGAGAATGCCTATAATACTAGTGACTCAGGAGGCTGAGGCAGGAAGATTGCAAGTTTGAGGCCAACCTAAACAACTTAGCAAGGCCCATAGCAACTTAGCAAGACCCTGTCTCAAAATAAAAAATAAAAAGGGCTGGGATGTAGTTCAGTGGTAAAGCACTCCTGGATTCAATCCTTAATACCCCCACTACCACCACCAAAAAAAAAAAAAAAAGGAGATGCTCCAGGAACATCAGCTATTCTTTGCCAGCTCTTGTCAGCCATTTCTCTMTCTCTCAGAGTTCAGAGCCAGCCCCACAGATACCCAGTTCCAGGGGAGTCCTGAGGAGACCTGCTGGCTCCTTGGAGCCCTCCTCTAACCCAACAGCCCTCAGTCTTCCGACTTCCAGCAGGCATCAGGAGCAGGATCGAGAACTGGGTGGTACCCACATAGCAGGTATGCATGTGATATGATGTTAGAGGGCCTGTTTGACCTCCCAAGTGAAAGTTAGGATTAGAGTTGCCCCCTGGGCTTCCTTGAACAGGAGCAAAGTGGGAATAAAGTGCATTCACCCCAGGTACCAAACCAGTTCCTCAGTGAGTGTATCAGTTAGTGTTTGCTGTGTAACAAACAGTTTAAAAAACATTATTATAAGTAGATTAAAATACAAGCATTTATTTAGCACACAGCTGACCCAGCTARACAGTTCTTCTGGTCTTGGCTGAATTTCCTCTCCTGAACTCACTCATACATATACTTATTCTGCTTCTGCCTTATTGGATGGGGCACCTTTATTCCCTTCCATGGGGTTTCATATCCTCTAGCGCATAGGCCTTTCCCATGGCAGCTGGACTGAGACCTCTAAGCAAAGAAGAAAGGGCTCTTGAAGCATAGACTCCAAACTGGCACAGTGTCCTTCCTTCCTCACTCTGTGGGCCTAAGCAAGTTATAAAGGACAGCCCAGATTCATGAGAAATTGACTCCATTCTTAGATGGGAGGCCTACAGGTTAGCCAGGACCTGGAGGATGGGGAAAGACAGTGCAAAGCTGGATTGGCTATTGTCAGAGGAGCCCTTCAGTACTGCCCTACTACAAAGGGGTGTCCAGTTCCCAGAAAGTCACTAAAATATCTCAACCCCCAGAGGAAGCATGTCTATCATCAGCCAGGTGCCTGGACACTACACCAGATCTTAGTACTCCCCCTCAAGGCTGTGTAGCTGACCACCCTGACCTGGCATGTCTTTCTACTACTTCTCAAACTGTATTCCATATGACACTTGTGCCTGGCCTGCCCTCAGTACCCTGGAACAGCCACAAGGCACAGGGATATTTAAAAGTTAGGAGAAACCATCTTGTGCCCTCCACTCTTGTCATCCCCAAATAGTCCTGAGCACCTGTTTGCACTTTACAGTGTTATTTTGTCATGGAATGCCTTTTAGGAGATGCTTCTATGAATCATGAAGGCAAAGGCACCTGATTTCAGTGCATTGATGGACACAGGTCCCACGAGAGTCTGTGGTACTGCATTTAGGGGAGGGGACATGAGACATCACTTCTTTTTTAGAATTTGGGGGTTTTTAGATATACATGACAGTAAAGTGTATTTTGACATATTATACATGCATGGAGCGTAACTTATTCTAATTGGGATCCCCATTCTTTTTTTTTTTTTTTTTCCCATACTGGGAATTGAACTCAGAGGCACTCAACCCCTAAGCCACATCCCCAGACCTATTCTGTATTTTATTTAGAGACAGGATCTCACTGAGTTGCTTAGCACCTCGTCATTGCTGAGGCTGGCTTTGAACTCGTGATCCTCCTGTTTCAGCCTCCTGAGCTGCTGGGATTACAAGCATGTCCCACCATGCCCAGCTTGGGATCCCATTCTTGTGGTTATACATGATGTGGAGTTTCAGGCATCACTTCTGACCTTTGTCAACCTTGGGGTCTGGTGTGTGCATCCTCAGAGTTCCTGATGACACTGCCTCTATGGGCTGTCACCCTGTGTCAGGTCCTCTTCCTAGGGTGGCTTTGCCTTACTCCTGGGAACTGGCCAGCCTCTGGTACCACTTGACTGGTGTGAGCAATTCTGCTTGAACCACCCTGCTGTCCCTTGCCCTGATCCAGTGTTGCTCCTGCTGGAGAGTGTGGGGGACAGCAGTGAGGGGAACATCTAGGATTCTACTAGCTAGAGAGAGAAAAAGGCAGAAACAGGACAGGGAGGTGTTCTGGGTGGGAGAAACAGAAGCAGAAAGAATAGTCAATAATGATCTTTAAGCTCCTGGATGCAGTTAGTGGGAAGGATGACATCGGTCTTGTGATAGGACAGACTTGGGGATATAGGTCAAGAACTGCAGGCAACAGTTGAGTCTCAGGTCTGAGAACGATGACCAAAGGGACTATAGAGTCTTCTCCATGCACAGGTGATTGGGAGGCATGTTGCAATAGGGCTAATGTGATTTGAGACACAAGGACCTTTCCACAGCCCTGAGGGTGACGGTCCTTTGGGTTTATGCTTCTACTTTTGCTACCTGCAGGTGCAGTTTGCAGCTCCACATCAACCCGTGGGCCTGTGTCCCCGACTGTCTCCTTCCAGCCCCTGGCCCGTTCCACCCCCAGGAAAAGCCACTTGCCTGGACCTGCAGTGTCAGCTCCTGCATCTGCTGGTCCCTCCTCCATTGCCTTGGCTTCTGTAGAAGAGATTGGTGACCATAATAAGACTGCCATCTGCTCTAGTGATGCAGAGGTACCTGCTGATTCAACAACTACCAGCTTATTGCCCTCCAAAGTGCCTGGCAACTCGGCCCTTGTCAGCTTGGGGCCCTCCAAGTTGCCTACCAGCACGAAGCCCCCTGGTGCAGTGCCCCCTAAAGTGCCCTCCAACCCAGCACCATCCAAGTTGCCCATCAACTCAACACGTGCTAGCGCCATGCCATCCAAAGTGCCTACCGCTACCATGATTCCCACCAAGGTGCCTACCAACACGATGCCCTCCAACGGGAGCAAAGCCAAGGTGAGTCCTGGCCCCTCTTAGCAGTGCCTCAGGCCCCTTCCCTCTGGGCCCTGTCCTTGGACCCTTCCCAGTCTCCATCCTGTCTCTAACCTGGGCAAGTCCATGACCTCTCCTTAAAGCTGTGGGGACAAGCTGGCAACCTGCCTCATCCTCTAGGAGGAATGACTGTCATGAAAGCCCCTAAGTATCATTCCCCCAAGAGGGTCAGGCATGGGGCCACCCTACTGGTCATGTGCTTTAACTCATTGGGACTCAGCCTCCAGTTAAGCTTAGCAACACTGATCTGTCGATGAGGAAGCAGTGAGGGGTGGAGCATGGTGGCCCACTTGCCTTCATGCCTTGCCCTTCACCACCAGTATGTCTGGCCTGCCTGTGACCAGGCTTTCCAAACAGCAATTCCTGGCCAGCCAGCCTGGAGCAGCTGCTCTGACCCATTAGCCCCCGTAGCTGCCCTCTCCAAAGCCTCGCATCTAACCCTACTGCTGCAGTCTGCCTCGAGGAATCAAGTTCCTGAGGCTCCAGGACACTGTAGCTGCCCTGTGATCCTAAGGCCTCAGCAACAGGGGCTTGCTGTCAAGGGCTTCCCTGGAGTGAGCTCACAGGCAGACCAGTGAGTTGGGAGAGGGCTGCAATGAGGCCATCAATGAAATGATACTACAAAGCCTTGGTGCCTTCTTCCCCTTCCGCCTCTTCCCCACCAATGGTAGGGTCTCCAAGCGATGGTGTCTTGCAAGCCAGGATATAGGAGGGAACCGAGAAATTTGGGCTTGGGCTACTAGTTCATGCCCTGACTCGAGAACAGGGCCACCCACTTTGTCTGGCTTATCTCCCTCCCATACCCATCCCCTTCCAGCACTTTCCTTTCTTTCCCAGGAGACCCCAGGGACTCCAGCAACCACAGTCACCATTGAAGGCAGCTCTCCTTGGAGGGGTAGCAGCTCTGGGAACTTGCACTCTGAGGCCGAGCTGAGCAAGCCTGGTACCCTGGTATCGAAGGTCGACAGCCAGCCATTTTCTGGCTGTTCTGAAGATCTCGCTATCAGCAATTCTGTGGTCCTGGAGTCCAGCCAAGGCCCAGAGGAAAATGAGTACATGTCCTTTGCTATCCATGTGGCTGAGGGTCCCAGTGCTGACCTCCTGGATGGCATCCCTGAACGACCTGAGGCCTCAGAGCCCCAGGAGGAGGAAGAGGAGGAGATGGTGTGCTCAACAGCACCAGGGGCTCTATGGTGGCTGGGGACTGCCGCAGCCAGCGCGCTCCTGGCGGTGTTCCTGGTGGTGCTGTACCGGCGGCGCCCACTGCAATGAAACCTCCATGGCCCACTGCACCATGCATCTGCCGCATTCCCACGGTGCCCTTTCCCCAGGCTGGCAGGGGCCGGGTCAAGCAGGGGACCTCGAGAACTACGGGCCTGATGGAGGAGTGAGTTGTGAGGACAGCGTTTTCTGTCCTAGCTTTTGTCCTCTGCTTGTCCCTCACCATCCTTGGCTTTCTAGGCTCTAAGCGGCCCCCAGTGCTTCAGACCTTGCCTACCTGGTGGTCTCCCTGTGTGCTCCTAAGGAGGTCCCCTCCACCAGGCTTTGTCTCCCTTTGCCCAAGCCTGAAGATCAGGACGTGTCCCTCATTCTGCCCAGGTCCCCTGAGGCCAAAACAGGTGTGTTGGGTGGGGGATTCCCACAAGACCTTGTTCCCCGCCCAGCAGCTCAGCATCCTGACAGCAGCAAGGTGCCTAGTGTTCAGGGAGCCAGCTGCTTTGGGTTCCCTGGCTCTCTAGTCCCCCTCCATTGGCCAGGCCACCCTGGAAGAAGGTCCAGTTCCAGTGGACCCAGGGAAGCCAGAAGCAGCCACTAGACAGGAGGAAGACCCTTGGAGCCTTTCTCCAATCCCCTTACCTCCACCTCCTATCCTCCATTCTCTTTGGCTTCCTACATGGGTTGGGGAAGGGACCTGCCTAGTGGGCAGAATTCAAGCCAGGTTTAGATTTCAGGTCTTCCCTTTCTGGGCTGTGTGACTTTGGCAGATGTTCAGACTCTCTGGTCTGGTTTCCCCACGTGGACAGTGAGCCTCTAGCTCATCCTTCTTGGACATGACATACAGGATGCGGCATCCCTCCTGTCTAACCAGGTAGAGCTGAGGGCTTAAGAGGCAGAGTGCACAGCAACAAGGGTGCGCTGTGCAGTGAGGGGAGGCTCGGCTGCATCCTGCTCATCATCTCACTAGCTCTTTAATCCCAGGCAAGATATTAACCTCTGTGTGCCTCACTTTTCTCACCTGTTAAATGGGAGTGAAATGTCCACACACACACACACACACACACACACACACACATACACACACGTACATATATACATGTATATTCTAGTGTTGTCGTGGGGATTAAATTAGTTTATCTGTGTAAATCTTAGACTGAATCCTGGCATTTCCTAGGGACTGGATATATGTTATTATTGCTAATAAATGGGCAGTGAGTAGAGCACTTGGCTATACTTTTAGAGGTAAACCCAGACCCTGCTACCTTCTCCTTCCTTATATCTGCCTCTTAACTTCATCTAGTACATTTGCGAGTTGTTGGGGAGGGAGGTCCATCCARTGGGCAGCTGTTCTCCCCATCTCCAGCGGCCAGGGGTGTTCCACCACCTCCCTGGGTGGGAAGATAGCTATACTCTTCACACATTGAGGTGCACTGGGCGGGTATCCTCTTGGGTTCTTTTCAGGTGGCCTTTGCTGGACAAATGGTAGACACAGGAGCCTTCTCCATTTCTGGGCTCTTCAAGGGGCAAGAACTAGAGCCCTTGGAGACATCAGGGGTGGGGCTTGTTATGTAAAGCTCACGGCAGCTTTACCCTACACTGCCCTAGGGAACTTCCACAACCTAATGACCTCTACTTCTGAATTTCAGCCCCCACTCTAAACCCAACAGCCTCTAACTTGAATCCAGGTGTGATCTGTCCCCAAGCTATCTGTATCAGTACTTATCAATCCCTTGGTCTTAACCAACCACTGTATCCCCCACCTGTACCCCCAGGTGCCAGCCAGTCAGTTTGTGCACAGGTCCTAGTTTTAATGTGCTAGCCTCCCAGGGTACTTTGGGGRAAAAAAAAAAAATCTCACTGGGTGGAGTGGCCCATGCCTGTAATCCCAGCAGTACAGGAGGACCAAATTGTTCAAGGCCAGCCTCAGCAATTTATCAAGAACCTAAATAACTTAGCAAGGCCCCATCTTTTTAAAGAATTAAAAAGGGCATAAAAGGAGACATAAAAAGGGGAATATAGTTCGGTAGTGAAGCACCTCTGGGTTCAATCTCCAGCACCCCCTGGAAAAAAAAAAAAAAACTGGCTCAAGAAGGCAACACATAGTTCCAGAGAATCACTCAACTGGGGGATTTCTTTTTGTTGGTGGTGGTGCCAGGGATTGAACTCAGGGGTGCTTAACCACTGAGCCACATCCTCAGCTCTTTTTATTTTTATTTTTATTTTTATTTTGAGACAGGGTCTCCCTAAATTGCTTAGGGCCTGTTAAGTTGCTGAAGCTGGCTTTGGACTTGATATCCACCTGCTTTGGCCTCCTGAGCCACTGGGATTACAGGTGCACCACTGTGCCCAGTCAACTGGTACAATTTCAACCACAGTAACCAGTCACTGTTGGCGATATATTGGATCAGGTGTGTGGGAAGTGTTCAGGGCCCTCCCAGCACTTTTCAGATTATACCGCCTCGAATCCCTGACTTGGCCTGCACTTAACACTATCCCCGTCTCAGCTATTATCAACCTGAAGACTTAAATGCCACCTTCAGGCAGAAATGGGAATTAGAGTCCAGTCTCAAGAATCCTGTTCTGGGTTGTGACTTTCAGCTGCAGGAAGGTTTACCTAGGAAGTTCACCTTCACAGCCATGGCCCAGACAAGGTAGAGGCTGGAACACAAGGAAGGGAGAAAGGACCTCCACTCGCAGACGGGACTAGGGGACCCTTGAGGTCAAGGCTGGGTAGTCCTGGAGAGACCAATGCCCTCCTATGTGCCCAGGGGCAGACCCACCTGCAGCAGAACCCCTGTCCACCTTCTTTCCCTGGCCGAAGCATTTCCTCAAAGCCCTGGGACTGTTGTGGTTTCTGTCTTTCAGGGAAGTACCCTTGGACTTTGCTTTGACCTAACAAAGCCAGAACAGTGCCACTCCTTCACTTCTCTTGCTGGCCACCCTCAGGTTTAGGGAGCTTCTTAGTCAAGGATGAGGGTGATGCCCTTTACCCTGCCAGGTCTCAGATTATTAATACCTTCTTTTAGAAAACATTATTATGGCCAGCTTTCAGACAAATGCAAAAGTAGAGAGACTAGAATAACAAACCAGTATGTGCCCATCTCCTGGCTTTAATATCTTGGCCATCTTGTTCATCCCTGCCTATTGCCCCCTTCCTTCCTCTTTTCTTTGGTATGGGGGGGCATTGATTCCAGGGGCATTTTACCACTGAGCTACATCCCCAGTCCTTTTTATTTTTTATTTCAGGGTCTAAGTTGCTTAGGCTGGCTTTGAATTTGCCATCCTCCTGCTTCCTCCTCCCAAATTGCTTCAATTACAGCCATGCACCAATGCACCCAGCTGCCCCCCTTTTTTGAGTACAGGTTCTTTGTATAAGAGTTTGAAGGGTTCAGAAAGCCAAGGGAAAGACATAAGCTGGAAGGATTTTAAGACCATCTGTTTTCTCCCAGGGCAGCATTAGGTAACAATGAAGCATCCACGTTGTGGTCTATTGGCCTCTGTAGGTGACATCCTTCTTGAACCAGTTCAAAGCATGAGCAGCACTGGACTCCATCTTAGGAGGAGGGGGCTGCAAGCGTCCTTCCATTGTCAAGCTCCTTGGAGGTGCCTGCTATTGCTCCTGTCTCAGAGAAGTGACAACACATGAGACATATACCCCATGGCACAGCCCTTCCAACCAGCAGAAGTCCTCATGCTAGGCAATGTTCAAATTCCAAGTCCTTGGGCCTTGAGGTTCCACACTTGCCATGGGTGCACTGTCATGCGCCTAAAGGCCAAGACCCACTTCCCCCTGGGAAGGGAGATGAGGGGTCTTTGGTCTGAAGCGTCTGTGCTGGGATTGATACTGCTCCACAGAGGATAGTCACATGCTCCTTGCTTTCTTAGTTTTTTTTCCTTTAGCCCAGGCCTAAGAGGTCCACAGGGGGTTCTGGGTGTGGTCACTGTGAACATTCTTCACTTGGCTGCTGCTAACAACAAATAATAATAAAGGTCGCCACTAATGTCTGACTTTAATTGCATGCTAGACACTGTGCCAAGAGCTACACATATATTAGTTCATTTAATCCTCACAATGACCCTAGGAAAGAGACACCATTGTGGACCCAATTTATAGCTGGTTTACAAGACTGGGAGGGAAGAAGGACAAGAGGGACAATGACTCCTAGGCCCCAGAGCTAGATGCTTCTTACGTCTATGAACTTCAACTGACCTGATATCTGGAATAAAGAAAACATTTAAAATGAGATCATCACACCATCACATCACTGCCCAGTATGCCAAAATCTGCCACCTACTGTAATAGTATAATAACACTCAGTCTATAATTAAAATAATCTCAGGGGTGTCCTAATGATACGATTATAATCATTTTGTGTGTGCCCAGGCTCAAAGCCCTGGGGCTGGGTGAGGTGAGGCTGGTGCCATAAGAAAACTAGAATGTTAGTCTTCATGAAGCCAGTTTGATTTAGCAGACATCGTTTAAGAGTCACTTGTGCCAGGTCCAAGGCCTCTGAGGGTGCCTTTGAGTGATTGGGGATGTTCATAATGTGTGATACGGGGCTAGGGATGTGGCTCAAGYGGTAGCATGCGTGCGGCCTGGGTTCGATTCTCAGCACCACATACAAACAAAGATGTTGTGTCCACCAAAAACATAATGTGTGATACAGGAAAATAGGCTTCCATGTCATTCTTTCATATAATTTTACAGCAAATATTTATTTTGTACCCACTGTGAGCTAAGCATTATAATAGGTCTTGATGACATAGATAATAAAGACCTCTCCCTAAAAGTCCTCTCCCACCCCCACTGTCTCCAACCCAGTAGTGAATGGTTCAGTGGAGTTTTTCTGGAGCATGGCAGGGGCCAGTGAGGGGGAAGGACAAGTATTGTTTTGATCTGTTTTTGACTACTGAGAATTATAACTAAATTTGGAGTGGAGTGAGAAACAGTATGAGAGATAACATTAAATGTTCATGAAAATATGAATATGTTGGAGGAATGTAGGTTGGTGTTATGGCCTGAACGTATATGTCCCTGCAAAAATTCATAAGTTGGAACCTAACCCCAAGGTGATGGTATTAGGAGGTGAGTCCTTTGGGAAGTTTTTAGGTCATGAGGGCTCCACCTTCAGGAATGGGGTTCATGCCCCTAAGAGGAGCGAGGGAGCTGGTATGGTGGTGAACACATGTAATCCCAGCAACTTGGGAGGTTGAGGCAGGAGGATCACAAATTCGAGGCCAGCTTCATCAACTTGGTGAGACCCCATTTCAAAATACAAAGTGCTGGGGATATTGCTCAGGGTAGAGCACTCCTGGGTTCAATACCCAGTACTGGAAAAAGAGAGGGTGAAGAGCTTGAAAGCCCTCTGTTCCTTCCACCATGTGAGGACAGAGAAGTCCATATGAGAAAGCAGCAACCATATCTTTGAAGCTGAGGCTGGACCTTTATTAGACACTGAATTTKTTGGTGCCTTGATCTTGTACTTCCCAGTCTCCAAAATGGAAATTTCAATGATTCCTAAATTACCTAATAAAAGGCATCTTGTTATAGCAGCTTGCATGAACTAAGCCAGTTGGTGTTACCTTACTGGAAAACTGGCAGTTGTCTACTAGAGCCTAATATAGGCCTAAACCTGTGACCCAGCAATTCCACTCCTGGGTGTGTGCACAACAGAAACAAGAGTTCACATCCACAAAGATATGTGCAAGAATGCTTCTCAGATGCTCAAGTCCCTTGTGCAGTATTTGCATATAACCTCTGCACATTCTCCCATATAGTTCAAAACATCTCGAAATTGCTGAGCAAGGTGACGCTCGCCTGTAATGCCAGTGACTTGGGAGGCTGATGCAAGAGGATGGCAAGTTCAAGGCCAGTCTCAGCAATTTAGTGATGTCCTAAGCAACTCATCTCAAAAAACAAAAGGACTGGGGATGTGGCTCAGACGCAAAGAGCCTCTGGATTCAATCCCTAGCACAAAACAAAACAAAACAAAAAAACTTCTAACCATCACACTGATCACACTGTCCATAATATCTCCAAAATGAGAAAAACCCAAATTGTCTATCCTCAGGAAAATGGATAAGTTATAATAAAGTCACACAATAGAAAACTATTATATAAATGAGGACATTGCAACATARAACATGGATGAATCTCCCGGACCTGATGCTGAGCCAGAGTTAGTATACACCAAAAAGCAAATTTTATTTATCTTAAATAAACAAAGCTGATTTATGATGTTAAAAATCAGGAGAAAGATGAACTCTGGTAGGTATGTAGCTGGGAAGAAACATTCTGGGGTGTTGGTCTACCTCCTGATCCACGTGTTGATTTCATGAGTATTTTTAGTTTGTGTCCAGTACCCTGTGGGAGATGTGAAAATTGGGGCTGGGGATGTGGCTCAAGTGGTAACGCGCTCACCTGGCATGCGCGGGGCTCTGGGTTCGATCCTCAGCACCACATAAAAATAAAATAAAGATGTTGTGTCCACTGAAAACTGAAAAATAAATATTAAAAATAATTCTCTCTTTCTCTCTCTCTCTCTCTCTCTCTCTCCCCTCTCTCTTAAAAAAAAGAAAAGAAAATAAACAAAGATCATCCAAATGAGGACTAAAAGCCATTTAATCAGAGCTTGAGAGGCAGTCAGCCATCATAATTTGCATTTGGCAAGGACTCTAAGGCAGGCACCGATGCGAAACTCCATAGTAGGAAAAAGGGAAGGTTCAGGTGTGCTGTGATTGGATGATGTTGGCATGGGGTCCGCAGAGGAGGGCTAACTAGAAGAGTGGCATCTAATCATTGGTTAGGGAACATATATGGCTTTTCTGGTTGGTCTTGA